ACGACGCTTTAGACAATCACAAATGAATTATGTATAGTACATACTTTCTTATTAGAAATGGATATGAGTAGCATAAAATAATTAGTCGGACCCTGGGAGTTGATTCAATTGAATAGGCGTTTTGTTATTCAATTTCAGCAATACCACGTTCGTGACACGATTGAATTTAGTTAAACGTGAAAGTGTTTGTTTTGTGCCATTAACCACATAACCTCGGTTTTATACGTCAAACGCAATGAGTGATTGCAACTACAGCGGATGTCAATACAGCGCATAGTTCCCACAAACAATAATATAATCTGTAGTAATTCAACTGCGAGAGTTTGTACTGTGAGGAGCAATTTATTATAGCATACGTGTATATTTCATACTTTTAAAATGCGGCATTGCAGATCTATTGCTTTCTGGTGTATTTACGTTGGTTTTCATGGCTTAGAATGAGTACATACGGGCGCCTATGATTAATAGTTCTTGAAGACGAAGGTGTTCTACCATGTATAGATTTATCATTCCATGTACTGACACTAAGCAGACATATACTACTAATTTACGAAGCTGGGGTCAGTGCTTTTCAATTTATTTCCACAGTTAAAGTGCTTTCCTGATTTTCAAAAAAAAGTACTCCAATCACAATGCTCAGACAAATGTAACGATTCTTCATACAAAAATAAACCATCTTAACGCTTAACATATCACAACGTGACCCTTTGCGAATTATACACCCGAATTGTGAGAAATCTGTCTTAAGACATGGAAGTTGTAACGTTTTTTGCTGGTCGGACGTTAGCTTTCACGAACGCTCAGCAAACTGTCTTTTCAATGCTGGAGTATATGTAACATACATATACACGACAGTGAAGCCCAGCAAAGCTCACACTACCATGATCGAATTTTTCAAAAATTTAAAAAATAGTATTTGTCGTATTTTTTGTATTGAAATGCTCAGAAAAATTGACCTATAACTAATACATAATGAAATGGGTAACGACAACAATATATATAAACAATACCAATCATTAAATGTTCATTCAAAGCGTTACTTTCAAATGAGCAAGGTAATCTTCACGCGCCGTATAGTTCCATGAGGTCAAGTCCGAACACAGTTAGATTTACACGGGTTTCGTCTTTTCGTCTCAATAAACTGTCACTTGAACAATACGAACAAGTACATCTTCATTAGGTGTCGCGCATTCCTTGTGAATGTAACTTAAATAATCTTGCTTTAAGTTTTAGGTATTGGTTAAATTCAACCAATTCACAGTAGTAAATTTAAATTTCGACGCAATTTTTTTTTTCTGATTCACGTTTTGTAACGTTATGAATTTGATTCATTAACTGTATAAGTAACACCATATGTGGTGTACATTTTTTCTCGGCAGAATACATTGTTTGGTCGAAATAACAATTGACCACTAGCAACTAACGTTAACTATTTTGTTTAAATGCAAGGAATGTACGTGTATAGAATCCAGAACTTACCTATATACATCAATTAAGCCACATAAACCGGTGTTTTTTGAATTCCGAGATGCAAGTATTGGAATAAAGTCGTCCACACCTATAGTTGAGGCATATACGTACGACCGGAACACTTAGAAATACGATATATGGCTATATACGCAGAGCTAATCAATGCAGAATGGGATGACCAAAACGTATCTAGGTAAACTAAAAGTTCGGCCATACAATGTCTTGGGTTTGTTCATATCCTGTTATCTAAAAATATGACAGTAGCTGAAATCGTTACCCTTGATCAACTTAATCAGCAATGTACGTGGCGTTCTGCAGGTGCATCTTCATAGACAGCACACAGATCTCCCTGCTGACAACATGGAACGTTCTCACGGAAATAATTTAATTGGCGCCAAATTCTGTTTCTGTTAATATCAATTTGTCATTTGAGTTTAGTTTACGGCACGGCATTTAATTTGCTTGGTAACCAATTTCACGGAAGCTGGCCTCTCTGGGGACTCCCATATTATAACTGAATTTTAACAAAATTAGTCTGTCGGACGCGGCATACATTTTTGTATCACGTTTTCTTGGAAATGGCAAACGTACCGAACAGTCTGTGTAC